AAAAAAAAAAAGAGGGGGATTTAAGTTAATTATGGGAAGATGTGGAAGATGTTAGTGAGGCATTTCCTTCTGTAGAATAGTCTCAAAGCAAACAAATAGAATGAAAGCCCACTATGAAGACAGTGAATGAGCTTTAATTCAAGTCTTAACTGAAATGGAAATGAATCTGAAAAACTTGTTATTCTTTCATACCTTGAGTTAATACTCATACAGCTATAATGAAATTGTCATGAAAAGGGACAGCTTTTGCACAGCTGTTTGTTAAAAGTCCTGAAAGCAGAACTTTAAAAGTAAGTATCAAACTCTTAAAATTCAGGATTTTATGCAGTCTTTTAAAAATGTGAACAAATAAAATGCATTGATATATCACCTTTCTATGCTCTACGCTACATATGTCTCAAAAATGATTTTTCTTTCTTTGGTTTCATTCATCTACCAAATATTCCATGGTATGAATCCTGTATTGGTCAGAAACATTGCTGTGTGTCCTGGTACAGCTAGATGGCTTCTACAGAAATCTGCAGCTACAGGACTGTTCTCCCTGTAGCTGCACCCCTGAGAAAAATAGTAGAGAAAGGTGCTGATAGCAAATGACAGATAAAACTTTTTAGCATACTTGACTGAGTCTTCTGAGTGCAGAGAGGTTGTGGAGTTTCCTTCTCTGGAGACACCTGTGCCGCGTGCTCTGGGTATCCCTGCTGGAGCAGGGGGGTTGGACTAGATGATCTCTAGAGGTCCCTTCCAACCTCAACCATTCTGTGAGAGAACAAAAGGCACGTAAATACTCCTGAAATAATTCCAATAATGTGTCCTGGAAAGGGCAGGCAGACCTCACCTAAGCAAAACCCTTGCCTGTTTCAAGAGCTTTGTGAAAGGGTTTTACAGCTTTGCTCCAGGCAGTGTTTTCATGCTGCGGTTCCCCTTTTGTAGCACGCTCTGCTCTTTTACTTTCTCTAATACACAGTATTAGAATAACAGGGAATCTTTTTTTAGTCTAGCCTTGTTTACCAAAAGGCAGCTGTTGCATTCAGCTGTCACTACTCTTTCTTCATTAAAATAGTTTTTACTCTTTCTAAAATCCACTGACAGGCTAAGGACATCTGACATTTTACTGGATGCTTGTATGCAAACTTACAGGGGGGCTTTTAG